TGCAAAGTGCTTTGAGTGGTCAATAAGAAGAGCAGTTAGATACAGTCCATTTAAGATGGAATTATTTTGAGGACTTAAACATTATATTATTTAATTCATGAAAGATTCCTGCTTATCATAGTACATAAAATGAAATGTCTAAATTCTTCATATGTTGTAGTTGCATCAGGTGATCTCATCTGCAGCCGCTGACATCATCCTGTGTTCCCATTGATCCCTCTTCACCTCGGCCGACTAACTTATCGACATCCTCAAGTGTATTTCCTGTCGAGTCTGTCAGCTGTGTTTATGGATGGCCCTGCCCCCTGTTGACACGCGCACACACACACATGTGGGGCCACCTCCTCTGCTTATTGATGTATCCTCTTGCTTTTGACTCCATCCTCCTCATTAATGAATCTGGTAGGCGTGCGCAGATGTTGTGCAGGGCTCAAGTATCGACGTGCATGGTGGTGAGCAAGGAGAGCGCGCAGGCTAGGTCACAATGAGTATATATTTGTGTGTGTGAGGCAGAAAATGTGAGTAATTGTCGGAGAATGTGTGTGTTTCTGGTTGTTGTGTATTTGTATTGCTCACTGTGTTTGGCTAGAATACGGAAGCAAGAGCAGGGTGTGTGTATGTGTGTGTCATAACTACTTTAACGTGCTGACAGGTGAGGTGTGGGTGGAGACAGGCAGATGACTAGAGAGGTTGTGACTGTCTTGATTGACAAGTCCCTCTCTCTAACACACTGGTACAGACGCTCACACTCCTCCCTGTGCAGGCCTGCAGGCCCTCCCCACCCTCTACTTATCTACAGCTTCCCATCATGATCTGTGCTGGGCTGCTGATGTCTTGTGATCCTTTGAGGACACACAGTTCTCTGTCGTGTGATTTAGGCTGGCAGGCTCTCTCCCTGTCCTGCGACATCATCCATTACCAACTTTCCCCCTCACTGATTGGAGATGATAATGCTGAACTTTGGAATTAACCTCAATTAGTAGTACCCCTGTAGATCTTTCTCATTTCACCTCCTGACTCTTGTGCTCTATTTTACATTTCCCTGTCCCTGTTCCATTCACAGAGCATTTATCAACATGTGCAAAGTCACACACAGTTCATGAATTAAAATAAGCATAATAAAGCTGTATCATCTCATATTTGTCATTCTATGAAATTAGGAAATAGTCCATACCACCACTGAGCTCAACCCTCTCTTAAAATGCACACAATTCCACAAACTCACAGATATCAGTTTCCTAAATATATCTGTTTCTTTCCATCTAGGTCCACGAATATTTTTTCTGGGAAATTGGTGACAATATAAAAAAATAAATAATGTCCCATCTTATGACATTTTTGACTAGATCCACACCTTAATTTAAAGACATCTTTCTTAGCCCGTGGCCCATTCTTTCATCCATCTTCTTGAAAATCCGTTGTGTAGTTTGTACGTAATCCTGCTGACAAACAAACGAGCAAATCGATGGGCAATTAATACCTTTCTTTACACAGGTAATACGTGTTATTGTTGCCATGCTAGCTGGGTGATCAGGGAGAGTAGGTTTTTTTGCTTATACCTAACCACATCGTGAGTGTTATTGTAACCATGACAACGAAGGTCGGTTACACCTGTCGCTAGCTCCGATGGGTCATCTCAGAGGGTTAGAGACAAACTGATGTTCTTCAGGTTTGAGGATTTCTTAATGTGAACACAAGTATGTATTATCCCAGGCACAGTATGAACTGGAAGAACCTCACCGCCTCTCCAAATCAGCCTGGAAGGGATACATTAAAATATGAATGAATATGCAACACATGACATGCAACTGAACTAGAAAGAGAGTGGCATAAACCTTCACATTAAACCAAATGACACAAGCAAAAAGAAAAGAAGCAATGGAGCTATTCACTCTTTTTCACTCTGAACTGTAAAACCTCCTCATTCGGGCTGTGACTATAAACTATCAATCTGTGCTTGACTGTGCATTCACAGGCTCCTCAGTAGGTCACATTTACTGAATTGTGAAGTCGTTGCTCCGACTTTGGTGTGTTCATTTGCTTTGAAGACAGAATGTGGAAACAAACATGGATGCTGTAAACAAAATGTCTTGTATTTATGCATTGAGAGTGTTTAAAAACCTTAACACCTCTTTCTACTATTTGTAAAATAATGGAGAGCAGAGAAAAAAGATCAGTCGTCACAGGCATATAAATAATGTACAATGTATATATGCAAGTGAATCATAAAAACCTCTTGTGGTGTTCGGTGCTTGTGGGAGACAAACATACAGTTTTCAAAATGACAAAGTGTAACATTTGAAGGTTGACATAAGAGGCTACTGTTTACAGCTGATTGTAAAATTACTTTAATTGGTTTAAAACTGATGAAGTCAAGATTTTCCAGGTTGTTTTGCAGACTTGAGGTGGAGTTCACTTGAATTTTCCCCATTGGGAAGTAAATTTGCGGATTATTCCGTGACCACGTGAACGCACAGTGAGATAGAGTCCATGAAGTGTCGGTCTGGAGGATCATGTACTGTGGTGTGATAGAAAAAACCGGTGCTCATGATTCCCCCCAAACTGCTGTCCCTTATATTGTTTGTATGAAACAATTGTGACAAGAACACATTTACTTATTTGTTTCTGCCAAAATTAGCAAGACACCCACCCTTTGTTGTGACCACTTTGCATTTTGAATAGTTTTTATGGCTACCTTTATGCTCTCACAGCTCACGGTAAAGGTGGGTGAAAGAGGGCCGCCTACTTTAATACAAAGGAAAGTTCACAGGGCGTCAGAAACAAGGTGTCAATGTAGATGAACCAAAACCGTGATCTTTCCCTAACCTTTAGCAAAGAGCTGCAGCTTTAATGTGACCACAGAGAGGACTGTGGAACCACACTCTGCTGTTACAGCTGAGCTCTTTGTACGCCCACCAACCACTCAGACCACTGACTGGCAACTCTGCTGCCATTAATACATTTAAGGCTTTATGTTTTTCGTAAAAAAATAAATTTGCTGCCTTAAAAATGCAAATTCTAAGAGGTGTTTTATTTGATCTTATTATGGCTTATTTTAGGTTCATATTTCCCCTTTAATTCTTTCCAATCCACTTTGAGTTTCACAGAAACTGGCAAGTCAATTGACACACTGACCCCTGCTGAAGACTCTCATTCTTGTTAGCAATCCAGTGTTTGCACCCACAACACTGTTGAGCAATAACATAGATTAAGTAATTATGCCTCTTCCTGTTATATGAGCTAAAATGAGTCATTTGAGAGCCACGGTGGCAACAACTGCTGCATGTGTACCATCAAATCTTGGCTTGAGTTTGTTTCTTAAGACCAATATACCAACTGTTACTCTCTACCATCTGTTTTGTAAGATGAGAGATTCAACAATATCTCAGTGATTAAATGAAAGCTTATGGCCGTGACCTGACAGAGCAACTCTCTGTATCTTTCCTTATACAGCCCCTCACAATGTGCTCTTTACTCCAAAAGTTAGACGGAGTGGAGGCTGAAGAGACACTAAGAGACTGGGAAGGTTGTGGTTGTGCAGGTTCTCTGCAGTGGACGTAATCTCCAGGCTCAGACGTGGCTGTTTACCTGCACATGTTTTGTTTACCTACACCTGATAGGTTCAGGATTCAGTCTGCGGAGGCACACCCAGTGTGTCTAATGAGGAGAATAAGACACGCACGCACACACACACACACACACACACTCATGTACTGGGAGTGTGGTGGAGAGGTGAATTGTTAGCCTTAACAAAGGTTGATTTTCTTGTAAAGTGAGGAGGTGGGTTTAAATGCTTTTTTCATTGACTGTTGCGGTGGAAGCAGCTGTCTGGGCCTGAAGAGGGGGCAGGTGGGCCGGTCTGAGAACAGGCAGTTGAAACTAACTTCCATCTAAAGAAGAAAACAAAACCTTGACAAGCAGATTGATTTACATACAGGCCAACAGCCAAAACGCTTGTTGGTTTTTGTGTCAAAGTTGCCATTGTCCCGCTCGAGTGTAAAACTGCAGGATGAGGCGTGGATGCACATTGATGCTCACAAACACTTGCAAGCAGACAACACACACTCTGGCACACAGATGCACACGCACGCTTCCACTAAAACTAACTACCTCCCCCTGGCTCTTCATGAGAAGCCATTAGAAATGTGCCTGTGTGTTTTATTTTTAGCAGTGTGTGTTTAGGCAGGGTAGCGGCGTCTCATCAGTCTTCAGGGCCCTCCTGCTCTGTCGCTCTGTGTCTCTGTCTCCGGCTGAGAGCTATGTATATTTCATAAGCCCTGGGTGCCTTTTTGTCTTAAGATGCGCTGCACCTCCCCTGCCTGTCTCTCTGCTACTCGTCAATGGAGGGAGCCATCACAGCCTCTTTTAAACTCTCCCCCCGCTCCTCTCTTTCTCCTCACTGACAGCCACCCTCTGCTTCTCCCTCTTCTTTTCATGGTCAACTTGTTTCTTCCAGCTGCCTCATCCCTCTTTTCTTTCTTTTTTTTAAATCATTATTCTACTGTGGAGGGGAGCAAAGTAGAGCACATCCAAGCAGACTTTGGCTGTCAGGAAAAGTCTCCCTCTCCCTCTGTTCCTCTCCTTCTTTGCTTCTGTCTGTCTGTCTGCTCTGCGGCTCTGACACTTCAGGGAAGGGACACTTCTTCACCCAGCGCTGCATCCCCTTTAGCTATTGTCTTTTTATAGCAGATATCTGAGCACTGTGACAGCAGCTAAAAATAGCCACACCAATGACGGAGTTAGATTAATTGCTATGTTTTCATTATAAATATATTTTTATTGTTTAGGTCTGATTAATGGTAGAATGTTGAAACATTATCATGTAACACTTTAGCAGAATCTGTATCTCTGGATGTTGCTAATTGATCAAAGGGACTTGTATTGATGTCACTCATTGATTCAGTGGGGGATAATTAAGTCCGTCTCTATCTTACAAATGGATACCCCAATTTAACAAAAATCCATCATGGATGTTAATCATGTGTTTTCATGTCTTTCAGGCTAGTGCTGTGACTGAGGGTACAGCTGGAACCAGTAAGGAGGTGGACTCAGGTTCAGGCCCCTCGCAGCCTGCAGGCGACCACACTCCCTCTCGCCCTGTGACCTCGGAGCAGGAGAAACCTGACCACGCCGACCACCCACTTCCCAGTGAGTGTTGCCTTCCACAATGTTGTCATGTTTTTTGCTTTCTCCTTGTTTTCTATTTTCCTATGTGAAAATGTTTCTATGTGACCATATAATTTACACATTTCACTTCACACCATCTTCTGTATATCTGTGCAGTTGAATTTCTGTTTTGCTGTTCTCCGACCACCAGCAGTGTTATCCAACACGTTGATCTTGTTTTATATTGCATTTCTTGGTCTTGTCACTCTGTGCAACTTTTTGTCACAACATACTGTACATCGTAAAGAATGAGCCATGCCTAAAAATGATGTATTAGCAGACATCGACACAGCTCAGACCTGGTGTTAACATGCATCTCGAGTGAGCCAATCAAAAGTGGACAGCTCCGAGTTTGTCGGTTCAAATCTGACATTAGAATGTGTCTCCACAGGCGTCTCTGACTGAGTGAATCAATGTGTCATACACAGCTTTATGATAAAGTAAGATTTCCCAATTTGAAAACAAACATTAAAATCAATATAGTATATAGTATGGTAGTGTCCACAAATAAATCAATGTATGTGAAACACTGAAAAGTATAGAAAATAGTAGAGTCAGCTGAGTAGGCGGCCCAGGATGCTTTTGGGTTCACACAGCGAAAAGAGTGTGGCCACCACCTCAGAATGTGGTCTGATTGATCAGATCTCAAATGCGTCCTCACTAGTTTCCCACCAGTACTCAGAGCTGTCCCTCTGTGATCGAGCACCTGAGACAGATACCAGGTCTGAACAGGGGCCCCCTGACCCTGCTCTCTGGCAGTACAGGAAGTAGTGACACCCCTGGATTGAATGAGATGAGATGGCTCAAGAGAAGAATGGCCAAATTCCTTTTCAGTTCTTCTTCTCTGGCTTTATGTGTCATGTCTTCTTACACCTCCTCCTCTTGTAGCTCACCACACACACCATTTTATTTCATCTTAGTATGCCTACCTACTCTACCCATCACCATCTCAGTCTTTTTGGTGTTACAAATTGTGTGAAATAGTTGATAGGAGATGATAATGATTTTTTCTCTTCACTTTTACCTTTTGATTAACTATCAACAAATCAAGAAAACCTGCACAAATCACACACAAATACTTTCAAACTCACCGTTGTACATTAAAGTTGCGTTGTATTTTTCAAATCCCTCTCTTGTTAATTAAAAAGTTTCAGTTTTTCTGCGACTGCCAACCTCAGCTCAGATCACTGAACTGTGGCTTCTACAGTCATCTCACATCTCCTAGTGTTGATGCTAGAGAGGTGAATAACCAGGTTGTTGGGATGCTGGGGAGAGACGGGATGGTAGTGACAAAGTGAGACTGAGAGATGAGGTAGAAGATGTCACGATGAGGCAGTCACGCGTTTGTGTGTGTGTGTGTGTGTGTGTGTG